TACCTTTTATGTAGGTACATAAAAAAATATAAAATTTTAAACGGAAATATTTTATTATGCAAAAGTAAATAATAATTAAATAATAAAAGTTATTATTTCTATTTATACTTTTTAATTCAAATATTTATTCAAAAAAAAAATTTTTTAAATATTTTAGGGTTTACAAAAAAAAAAAAACAGAACTTTTTGGTTTGAGCGCTAATTTTTAAACGATTACATCGTATTTAGTACAATTAATCGCAGATGCTTAAACAAACCAATTTCATGTTTTTGTTAAGTTTCAAATTTAATTAAATACATAGGATGTATCGTTAGTTAAATTAAATGTTATTATACTATAATTACCTAAAATAATCAGAAAATAATTGTTAATTGTAAACTTATAACTTACGTAATGAAAAAATTAATGATGTCGTCGTGTTAGGGTACTGCTAAAAAGTTACTATTCGAAAGTGCTGTTTTAGAAAACAAAAAACCCGGAAATGTTATGCAAGTATAAATCATTGCTATGGTAGTATCGCGTTAATTATTTTAAATCTATAAAGCTTGTTAAGTTTGAATTACTATTTGACTGCTTTAGCACATATTTAAGTACTGCTACTTCTAATACTGTTACATACCTTACAGTCCATTCTGTATATAAGAAACTTACAAAAAAACAGTTTGTTCTGATTCTATTTAAATTTAAACATGATCTTTTTGTCCTTTATTAACAAAAACGTTTTTTAAACCGAAATAATACTTTTTGCATTTATCTTTTTTTTTCTGATTTCTAAATTTTATTTCAAGCTCATTTTTGACATTTACTCCAAAATTTGATAGCATTGAATTATAATTTGTGCTTATAACGGAAACTTAACTAAAAATTTTATATAAATAATGAGAAAAGTGCAGTTTGCCAAAGTAATTATAAGCAAATTCGACTGTTTTTCTATCGAATTTTTTTTTATAAAAATTTAACAGCAAAAATGTTTTTAATAAATGTAGAATTTATTCTGAAGTTAGAGTAGATTTCTCCAAAATTTTAACATTCTCCAATCAATAAAATGTAAAACAATATTAGAATTAAAAGGGCTGCTTTCCAAATTTTTAAAAATTTTGGGTTTTTTACAAAAACATATTGCTTTTTTAACTTAAAAGGACTTCTTTTCTTATGCAAAATTTTTGTAGAGTCTCTCACTTTTCGAATTATTAAAATAGACAACTCTTCTCCTTTTGCCCTCTTTCGTCCTTTCTTTCTGTTATAGTAAACGAGCCTGTTTTAATCTCGTATAAACTAAAAAATCTGACTATTGACGAAAATTGAATAATTTAGAAACGAACAATTTTTTTTTGTTAAAATTTTAAAATTTTTTTTTTATTTCGACACATCGCAACAAATAAAAATTAAATTTAAATATACATAAATAATAATCATAAATTACCTAATAATATAAAAAAAATTATAATAACAAAGAGAAAAAAAAACAGTTAAAATTTGCCAATTCATTTCGATTGACGGTGGTGAGAATATTCAGATATTTTTTTCTCTCCCCAGCTGATCTTTTCGTAATGAAAGTTTTAAATTAGCAAACTATTCAGTTTTAGTAGTTTTAATTCAATATTTCATTATAATTAAATGAACGCGGATAAATAAATGTAAATTATTAGAAACATTCTAATTAAGACTCTAATTAATTATTCGCGATTCTTAATGTTTCTGAACATAACATTGTAAAAAATAAAAGGAAAAAAGTAAAATATTCAAGAATAAAATTAAAAGTTCAATTTTGCATTTAAATTTTGTGATTTTGTTCGGCAACCTCGCGGTAACAGCTTTATCTTTTCAGTTATTCTTTTGATCTAAAATGCTTAATTAATAATTAAATTATACTTAATTATTTTTTAATTTAAACAAACATTTATAATTTTTTTCTTTTTTTCAACAAAATTTTTCTTTTGTATATAAAAATTTACATTATGGCAAAAAATTGAATTTAATTTTTAGTTTATCAAAAACAAATGACAAATAATGTCAAAATTTTAAAGATACTTGAGTAAAAATATATAAATTGTGAATGTAATACGTGATTCCAGCTGTCAATTTAAGAAATAATAAAAAAAAACAAAAAAAATATGTGTCAAATTTGTGAAAAATTAATAAAATTAAGAATTAAAAGATTTGGAATAATAAAACAGCAAACAAAATTTGAAAATTATTGTAAAAATTTAATAAAAATTCGAAAAGAATATTTTATTTTAGGTGAAAATGCAACATTATTTCGAAAAAATTTCGAAAAATTCTTTGAAATTCATAATGAAATTGAAAATATCGAAGGCGATGATAATCGGCATTATAATAATCTAATAAAATTTCGATTTTATAAGGTATCACAGAGAATTGAGGAAATTTTATTGACACATTTTGAAGTACCTAATAATGACAGCGATACATTATCTGTAGATATTAAAAATAACAATGAAAGTGAAGGTTATACTAATCAAGGTTATATAAAAGATGACCCTACCACGTTGGATACAAAAGAATTGAATGCTACATTGGATATTAACGAACTAAATAAGAAATGTAAGAATTTAGAATTTTAAAAATTCTTAAAATTTTAAATTTTAAATTTGCCCTGTCTGTGATTTTTATTTTTGTCAAAATTTTGATTTGATTGCTGTTTTAAAAAAAGGAAGTAAACAATACGCATTATTGTCAAATTCCTACTGTCAATGTCATACTTTCAACTCCATGACTCTTGTTATTCAGAAAGAGGAGACAAAACAAATTTTCCTACATTTCTGCACTGGGCCAAAAATCAAAAACAGTGAAATACTAAATTGTAAGATTTCAGTGTGAATAAAATATTCGAAATTCAGAATAACATAATCAACGTCATGGTTTCAAGCCATATCTAAAATGAAAATTGTTGTCGAAATGGTAGCTAAAAATATAATAAACTTTTACATGTACAATATTATTGTTAAGTTACTCAATGAAACAATTAAAATGAAACACCAACGCTTAAAAATACAAATAACTTAAAAATGTAAATTAAAGAAACGATTTATGAGTGTCAACATCCATGAATTTTTTTTGAATAATTACTTAATATTCTTATTCACATAAGTATATAAGGTAAACATTCATTTGGTTTTATTATTTTCAATTTTATGATTAATTTTATTAAAGTTGATTCTTAATTTTGTTTAACTGAGAAATGATAAGAGATGTATTAAGTGGGATTCCTCATCATAATCAAAAGCAATAAATCAATATTTACTCATGTATCAAAATATATAATAGCTTCACTACACACTACGCTACGATTTTGTCGCATTAAAAGAAATTGTAAATATTGCTGTAAATTGCTGTAAAAACGTTATTCTTCCTTTCTTTTTAGTTTGTAAAGTTGTAAATAAAATTTCAGAATGAATGGAAAATTTTTAAAATTAAAACTAATCTTTCTTTTGGTTCTTTCTTAAATAAATTTATAAAATATTTGTTGACAAGCAATGTTGATGCTTGGCGCCGAATTTTTAATGATAATTTTCAAAATTCAATTTTATATGAGTGTAAAATAGTGTATTCTAATAATCGATATTTTTTCAAAAATAGTTTGTATAAAATATAATAATTTTACTTATTCAAAATTAAATAAATTAAATAATTTTAATTTAATTTTATATTCTACTTAAAGTTTTTAAAAATAAAAAAAAAGTATTTGTTTGAAAGCACCTAAAAGAACAGATACAATCATAAATGGTCTGAAATTGTATAAGTGTTTGTGTACTTATATACACTTACGTAAATTCTAAAAAAATATCTTATAAATATTCAATATAAAACGGCAGGTATTGTAAACATATGTATGTATACTAATATAAAATTCGTAAACCTATACACTTGGAACTTTAAAATTATAGGCAGAGCATGCACTCAACTGGAAATTTTCTGATTTTAAATTCTCTACAGAAGTAACCTACTTTCAAATGTGATCGATCACATTGCTTTTTATTTCAAGAATAACACTTAAATAAATTGGCAGTGTGCTTAACTGGCAATGTATTTAAGTGTTAATTGAAATATTTAAGTGGAAGCGTTTATTTTAATAATTATAAAGAAACGCTTCAAATTGGTATAGGAAACAGTCTTTATTAAAGACTTATATAAATCAGAAATGAGTCCCAAACCAAAGATTTTTTATAAAATTAGAATTCATTGAAAATCTTCAAATAAAAATTTTTCATTTTTCTTATAAATTAATTTCATATTATATTTGAATAGTTCATTCAAAAAAACTACAACGTCATAGATGCTACGTGCACATCAGTTTTTGTTTTTTTTTTCAGTGTAAACATTACCAAGACAATATCTTTTGCGTATAGCCACATGAATAATTATTAAATTTCAATTTTAAATTATTTAATACAATAAAGAGATAAAAATAGCATTTAAATTAAGAAAATATTATCATATCTGACATTGTCAACCCAGTAGACCAAAAATACTCGCGACAAAAACAAAAGAGCCCTTCAAAAAACAACACAAAAAAAAATTAAAAAAACGAGTATTAAATCATCCAAAAAACAAAAAAAAAAGAAGAGGTCTGCATCCCATTTTTAGAACAGAACAAAAATGATGTGTGTGTTCAAAACTTTTATACACTCAGATAACTAAACGCTATACAATTTAATCTCGTTTATCTCTTATCACAAATGAATAATATTTGCATTCAGATAATTTTAGCTGGCTACTGATGCTTTCTTAACTTTCTTTAAGTTTTAATATTTTAATCTTTTTTTTTTTTGGTCTTTTTTAAACCTAATTAAATTTTTTGTTTTAATCATTCGCCGATTGGCTACGATTGTGAATCATTAAACTTTTAGAATTAATTGTTTAACGAGTTGGTTTTATAATTGAACCGAATTTTATTAAATTTTTTCTTAATTTTTTTTTTTTGCATACAATTTTTTACTTGCTAAAATTCTTAAATTATTTACACTTGGCACATAATATAATAAAAAAATAAAATACAAAAAAAAATTTAAATTCTTCTATTTATAACAAAAGTGGTTGCATTTTGTATACAAAAAAGCTGGAAGCATCAAGCCCAACTGACATTAAATTAATGAAGAGTGAGTTCTAAAGTTATAATTCTTTTTTGTTTTTGGTAAAATAATACAAATTATAAAGTGTTTTGTATGATAAGAGAATCATTCGAGTTTAATTTAATAAAAAAAAAACAAGTCATTGAACTTCAAATGAACAGTAACTAAGCATTATTAATAAATAATTTGAAGTAGTATAAAAATTGTTATAAATTAAAGTATAAATACTAAATAAATTTCAAACCAAAAAAAAAAACACAATATTTCATTAGATAAGCCAAATTTTAATAAATTTTTTAAATTGTACAAATATTTTGTCTGATCATATGACTTTCAAAATCAAAATTTAATATCTTTTTGAATCAATTGAATTTTCGTCCGGCCTTTTCATATACAAACAATTATCTTTAGTAGACAGTTACAATTAGGTATTGATTGAGACAAGGGAAATAATATGATAATTTTTTTAATAACCTATTTCCAAAATTGAATTGTTTTTTTCTCAATTAATTACTAATTTTCATTAAGTGCTTTTAATAATTCCAAAATTATGTAATTAAGTGTATTTGTTATTGAGAATACGATATCAATTATTATTTGTAAATAAATAATTGTGTATAACAATTTGAAGAGTTTTGATTAACTCTAATTTTAAGAGAGCAAAATTCTTATATGAAATTGAGATGGTTGATTCATTGATATTGAAAATTTTGCTTTTAAACTAATCGTTCTCACTTCTGTTCTCACGTGGTATATTTGTTCTTTAAAATAAGAAGAATTTTTTGTAAAAAATTTGGTACTCTTTTTTAGGTACACTTCTCAATTTTCACATTATTAATGAAAGTTTGTAAAATTTAAAAAGGAATATTAGAAATTGCGTGCTGTGTTGAACTACAAAACTACATTCGTCAGTTGTGCAATATAGTGTCATCATAATACCAAAATATTGTATAGAGCATAATGTTACAATGTTGTGTAACATTAGAATAATTGAATGAAAAGGCTGGGCGAAAATTCAATTGGTTGAAAAAGATATTCTTGGTAAAATGACGCGGACGTTTTTTTTTATTTTACTATTAAAAACTTTTTTATAAACTTATTTTATTTAAATTGTTTTTAATTTTTTATTGTAACTTTCTTTATGGAGGGTAAATTCAATTTTTAAAGGTCAATTTAACCTTATACAATATCAAAGTGAATAATAAATATTTTGCATAAACTTTTTATAAGCACATAAATAAAACGCAAATATATTTCATACCCTTTAAGAGTATCTGATATAATCTCCTAGCAGCCAGATATAACAAGACTAAATACTAAAAATAACACATAGAAATCATAACGTTATGAGAGGGAAAAGATGAAGGAAATTAAATTTAGAAGCGTAGTTAAAAGTCATTCGATATTATGAAAAGAACATACGTAAGAATAATGGGCTCGTTAAGAAAGAATTAATCTACTATGTATATTTAATATACATAACAGTTATGAGATAAGGAAAAATAATAATCTTTTATCTGGTTATCATTGTAGACTAATGATATTATGTTTACATATGCTATCAAGAGCTTCTGGCTAATTTTAATATTTAAAAGTTCCCACTAGTTCAAAGATTTTCATTACGCTTTTATACTTAATCGAAAGAAAATTAAAAATTTTTTTTTACAATAAAAATTTTTAATTTATAATCAAAAACTAAATAGTATTAGTTAACGAAAATCTGTCAACTTGTGATTATTTAAATTACAAAATTATTTAAAACAAGTATTTTTAAATAAAATTATTAGATAAAAAATAAGTGAAAAATAACCATTCAAAAAAATTTTTTTTTAATTTAATACAAAAAGTGAGTACAGTGAAATTCATAAATATTTTTTATATAAATTCAGAATACCCATGAGTACCCTTAAATTATCAATAGCATTCATAAGATTAAAATTTATTGAAATATCAAATTTTTTATAAATTTAAACGCGTGACAGACACACTTATTTCATATTACGTTTGTATATGAAATGTTATGGAAATTTTAAAACATAAGAGTATTTCAACTTCATTATTTTGTGACTTAGTTGTTCATACAAAGTATTTGATATCAATATCGGTATTTGAACTTTTTAATTAATAAATATATGAGTTATTAAATTTATCATATTTTAAAATTATTTTTTTCGCGCTAGTTTTTACAAAAGTCCGATGATACTAAGGAATGGTACCGTACCATAGTACAATGTAGGTTGCAATGTACTCGATCTAATTTGATCTAAAAAAATCGATTTAAACCCTTTTTTTCTCATACACAAATCAGTTAACTCTTAAGTTTAAATTTTTCTTAAGTCAATTCACATCAAATTTATGACCAAACGATCAATAATTTTATAATGAGCTGAAGTTACAATATCATATTAGTATAGACTTGTAGAGCGTACACTTATAACAGTTAGAATATTAATTTTTGATTTCAAACGATTTCGGTTTACAAGGGACCTATTGTAAATACATTCCTACTTTATACTCTGAATTTCAAAATTTGAATTTATACTTTGAAAAATAAATTATTTAAAGCTAAAACATCGTTTTCTGATAATTTGCCACATGCTGATAGTGTTACCGTTTAATTGAAACTAATTTGTATTTGTTGTAAATGTGTTGTTCGTACTAAATTTCCTCTAGCAAAACAAGTTATGAACCAATGCTTTTTGTACTTACATAAATTGATTTTAATTTCTTCTTAGTTTTGAATATATTAAAAGGGTGCAGTAATTTTGGACTAAAACTCACAATACTAAAAATAAAATTATAAAATTATGAAACATTTCTGCAAAAGAGATGGTTTGAATATAAAGAGTTCAAGAGAACCAAAATCAAGAGTCTTTATATCAATAAATGTTAAAATTCAAACAATTCTGAAATTGTGGTAATATGTACTACACTACATGTTTCACATTCTCTTTTTTTTGTTCTTTTCGGTTCCCAATCAATAATATTCTCGAAAAAGCATTACTTGAAGTGAAGAAATGAGATTGGTTGTAAGTTTACACTTTTCGTTTTTATTGAATTTGGTTTGTTATTTTTAATCATACAAAATCCAAATATAATTCGAACTTTAAACAAAGTAAAACAAAACGAGTTGCTACAAGCATAAAATAACAATTAAAAAATCTTCGGAAATTTTTGATTTTAATCATTTGGACTATAGTTTAATTTGGCAAATATAATAAATCTAAAAATCGACTGAGGTTCGCAAACAAAATACTTACATACATTACAAAAGCTATTTTAAACGCTATATTAAGACAAAGAGGAGTAAGAGTTCTGTACTAGAAAATTCCAAAGTTTCTTGAATTTTTCATTTTTTGAACTAGGAAAAATTTTATGAAAAACTTCACATTTTTAAATAAACAATAAACTTTGAATGTTCTATAGGTACATATTGCTATTACCTAAGAATTAAATATAATTATTATGCAAGAAGCAGGGCTTAAATATACATAAATAAGAAATTATATGAGTTTAAAGATTTTTTAATATTCTTACATATATAAAGCGTCAATATGATCAAAAAATAAAATCATACGTTTCAAGTGCGCATCAAATTCCTCTTTACGGACAACAGCATTCAAAAAGTGTGGCTTTCTTCAAACAAGCAGTTATAACAGGTTTATAAATAGCTGAGTAAACATTGACAATTCGGTGAAGCAACTGACTGAGTTGTGTAAAAATTAATTACTCTTATTTGTGAGGGGGTGTGCCAAAATGTGGCAGCCTTAAATAATGCTAAGAAAATTAAGTACGAATACAGAAAAAAAATCTGTTCAAATTAAAATTTTCTGATAGTGTCAAAATAGATTTATGTGCATACATTTATATGTACACACATATTAACTGTCATAAAATTAATCCATTGTTAAGACATATAATTTGAAAAAAAAAAAATAAAACAAAAGCAGTAATTTTTCGTGCGAAATTCAGAGAAAAGCTCACTTAAGTGTGAGAGAAATAGAAGCTTAATACGAAGCTTTATTGTTATAAATCAATTGTGTACGGTAATTATTTGGATGTACGTTTGTGTGTAATGTATGTTTATAAATACATGCTTTTATACAAATTAAATAAATTAAATTAAATAATGGAAAAATGTTGACAAATGTTACGAACTTTCATCCAAGTTGAATACTAAATAAATATTTTATATTTGAATTAAAATTACAAATAAATAAGAAAAAAATTTCTATTTTTAAAAAATTTTTTTTAAATTTTTCCATTATTACACGTACGTCAATAAAAAATTTCACGTGGTAAAATTTTATGAATCGCAAATTTCCAACAATTATCTGGAAGTAAGATTGCAAAATGAAGTTCAAAGTCAAAGAAAAAATTTTGCAAAATAATTTGTTAACAAATAACATTTCATGTCGTATCGGTTTCGACCATCTGTCGGTCGAAAAAAATTATTAAAATCAATATTTCCCAAAAAGCATCACTTGAAGTGACGTGATAATAATTTTCTAAAATTTATTTCTAAAATTTATTTAGAAATATTAAAATTTAATAGTAGAAAAATTTTTGCAAGATATGAAATGATTTTAATGAATTTTTATTGAAGTACAAGTAAATATAAATCCATTTTAGAAACGAATTTAATGAGAACATGCACATACGAATTTACTCATGTGCTATAGGTAAATCTACTCGGGTGAGAGCTGATATAAAAATTTTTAAAATATAGTAGAAATTTAATTGTTAAAGTCAAAACTTCCTATATAAAATTTAATCCCTTCTAATAGTACACTTTCTCGGAGTTATTGCATCCACATTGCGAACTCCGAAGTAAATTTTCATTCCAATCGCTTTATCGGGAACTGCGAAGCCGAAATATGAAAAATTAAACAAAAAATAAAAGAAAAATTTTTTTTGAACACCCACAAGTGAGTGTTTCAGAAAAACTGTTAAATTGAAAAATTTTAATCCCAAATAATGTTTTAGTTACATTTAGTTAACAGGAGTTATGCGTGTAAATTTGAGAGAAATAAAAATGAATCTCTTAAATCAAGGAGATTGTGCTTATCAATGTAGATAAATGTAGAGAATATGAATCAATGTAGAGAATATGAAATTATTTAAGAATAATTTAATCAAAAAAGTAATTAATTATCAAAAATTAATTGTACTGTACCTGCCCCTAATGTTAGAAGATTTAATAATAACGATTATACAAAATTGTTTAAATTTTAGTGTCAGATTGTGAAGAATTAACACCGAATAAAAAAAAATCACCCCACATAATTGGACTTGGTGTAAATTGTAATGCCGGTGATTCTAGTGATAGTGGTGAATCAAGAATACTAGAAAAACCACCAAAAAAGAGTGTCTTTAAGAGACGTATTAATATTTTAAATTGGATTGGAAAATATGACAAAAATATTGCAATTTCGGACTTGATTGCAGGTTTAACATTGGGTTTAACTATAATTCCGCAAAGTATAGCGTAAGTTTAGAATAAATTTCGTTGAACACATTCTAAATTATTTTATTGAATAGATATGCGTCATTAGCTGGTTTACCATCTCAATATGGACTTTATGCAGCTTTTATGGGTGCATTTGTTTATGTTATTGTTGGAACTGTAAAAGAAGTCTCAATTGGACCAACAAGTTTAATGGCATTATTAACATTACAATACACATACAATAAACCACCACAATTTGCTGTTATTTTAGCATTTTTATCTGGAATTGTTGAATTAGTAATGGGTCTATTGAATATTGGTAAGAATATGAAAAATAATAATTTTCTCGCATAAATTAAATTAATAATCATTTTGGAGAATTTAGAAACCATAATATGATATGAATTTTAATTCAGTATCGAATGATTTCATCCTTCCAAATTCAGAGTATTTGATCATTAAAAACTTCAATTAAAAATTGGGTTTATTAACCACAACGAAAAAATGCTATATAATTTGAGTTCATGATTATAATGACCTTTATTTCAATTATAATTTCAGGTTTCATTGTGGATTTTATTTCGGATCCAGTAACGAGTGCATTTACATCAGCAACTGCTCTTATCGTTATTGTTTCTCAGGCTAAAAATTTATTGGGTATCAGGATACCAGCAAAAGATATTGCAGATACTATTATACAATTATTTGCACAAATTCAAGAGACCCGATTAGGGGACAGTTTGTTGGGATTAGCTTGCATTGTGTTCTTATTAAGTCTTCGAGTAAGTATTTAAAACAAAAGAAGAATTATGAATACAAAATTTTTATAATTTAATTCAAATTATTCACAGCAATTGAATCTTTTGAATATCAATAAATCTCGACGTGTGCTAAAGAAGTTCTTATGGTACATTAGCATATCGAGAAATGCTATTTGTGTTGTTGCGGCTTCTGGTGTTGCGTTTTACTTGACTCAGATTTATGAGAACGAAAATTTACCCATAAAATTGTCTGGAAATGTTGAATCTGGTGTTCCAAGTTTTTCTTTACCACCATATACAATTGAACATGATGGTGTCACATACAATTTCTTAGATATATTAAGAGAACTTGGTTCTGGAATAATAATCGTACCATTAGTAGGAATGTTGGCAAATGTTGCAATTGCTAAAGCTTTCGGTATAAATTTGGTTTTCTTAAACTTATTCAAAATGAAATTTCAAAAATTTGATATATAAATTACAGCGGCCGACGGAAATTTGGATGCATCACAAGAAATGTTTGCATTAGGCCTATGCAATATTGCCGGATCATTCTTTAGAGGAATACCAACTTGTGGAGCATTTACTAGATCGGCTGTTAGTAATGCAAGTGGGGTTAGAACACCAATGGCAGGAATTTATTCAGGTGTATTAGTTTTATTAGCATTAAGCTTATTTACACCATTCTTCAAATATATACCAAAGACAACATTAGCAGCAGTCTTGATATGTGCGGTTGTATTTATGGTAAGAATTATTTTCGATTATAAAAGTTTCAGTTGCGAATTTTGTATATTACTCATAATATTTCATTACAGATGGATTTAAAAATAGCGCTGCGTTTATATAAAAAGAGTAAAAAAGATTTTATTGGATGGTTATGCTGTTTTGTTATAAGTTTGGCATTTGGTGTTGAAATTGGTTTGTTAAGTGGTATTGTAATATCAATAATTTTCTTATTAATGAAATTGGCAAGACCAAAAATTGTTATACATATAAAAGAGGTAAATTTAAAAAATTTAAATTCAAAACTTTTATTTGATATCCCATTTTTTTGTTTTAGATTGATAAAGTCGAGTATATTCATATTCGTCCTTCATCAGAAATTTTCTACACAGCAATAGATTATTTAAGATTAAAAGTAAATAAAGCATGCCTTGCCTCAAAATATCGTTATCCAGTTGTAGTAGATTGTGATAAAATCAGTCAGTTAGATTATACATCAATTAAAACAATTAATCTGTTAGCGAAAGAACTGAATGCACATGATGTAACGTTAATTATACATAATATGCGTAATAAATTACAGAAATATTTGGATGACAGTCAAAATATTAAATTCTGTTCAGGGAAGCTGACGACAGCTCTTTTCTCCAGAAAATCAATATCAAATGAGTCATCAGATAGAAGTTGTGTATAAATGTATTAAATTAATTTAACATTATTGTTCGTTTTTTTAGAACAAAGAAAATTGCTAAATATTTTTATATTATAAGAATGAACAATTATACAAACACTTTATTCAAATATAATTTTAAGAGAATCTCTTAAATGATTAACATGTATTGTGAGAAATTCTTAGTTCTTGTTTTTGAATATTTTGATAGTCATTATTATTTTGAATCATTTTAAGTATAGAATAAAATATTTTTATTTATTGTAATAATTTGATTTTAATAATATATTAATAAATAATTTAAGTTGAAAATGTAACTCAGAATCTAAAAAGATATTACTATTTGTTTAGAATTATTAAATTGCACAAACGAAATCCTATATGCAACTTGGAATACGAAAGTGTAATCAATTTAAAATTGTTCATTTAAGCATTTCAAAACTGTGTTGCGGGTACAATTTTTACATTTTGAACAAATTGCATTTGATAATCACTAATCAATGAAAAATGCACAGTTTTAAGCAAGTACTCGTATTTGGAAATTTTTAAGAAATTTACACTGCAGCCGGAACTTTTTCATTTTGCTTTCATCTAAGATAAACAATAAAGATAACATTTTTTTGAAGGGATTTACTTAGAATATGATCTTTTGTGAAATATATTAAAAATTAATTGAATATCAAAAATTGGAGTGACTATAAATTAAAGGTTAACTAAAAATATACTTGGAAATAAATTTCAGTTAATTTGCAATTAAAAATTGAACATTTGAAGCTCATGAATCCTGACAGAGAACTTCTTTTTAAAAAAAAATCAATTTAAACTCAAGCAAATATTACTTTCAGATCTTGTTAGAAATTGTCTAATCTAAACCATTGCTAAAGTCAACGTTTATTTGAAATTTCAATTTTAGAATTTCAAATTAAATATTTTAATTCAAAACATTTCAGTTGATTTCAATTGAACAGAACAGAGTTTGCATGCTTTTAATTTGATGTACTAAGGTTTTTTTACTATCAGAGTCGGTTATTCAGAAATTCATTAATAATTTTATGCATGTATATACTTACAATTTAGTATTTACAATCAATTTGTATGTATTAGTTTATAACTTACCTGAAAAGAAAAAGATTATTAATAATTAGTATAGTTTTGTAATAATTAAAAATCAGAGAATATTTATAAAACAATGGTAAATAAGAAATCTTAAAAATTTTATGAAAAATAAGAGAGTCAGTCAAAAAGCCAGTTATGTAAGTTTGACCATAAATTTTATTTTATTATCGTTACCAAACAAAATTTCTAACTCATCCTTAATATAAATGTATGATTTATATAGCAAATCGGCTATTGGTTATTTGTTATACATACAATTTTTATACATGAAAGATTATAGCCAGTATATAATTATATTTTAAATGTTATTGAGTAGTCATTGCACTATTATTTGGCTTATTCAGCAAAAAAAACAAAAAATTCAAAAAATAACTTAACAATTTAAACTATATAAGCACAATTCCTTAAAAGATAAAATAATGACAAAATATTAGTTTCCTTTACAAGCAATTGCAACTAAATTTTTGAAAATTGTACGTTTTCTTCAACAATTTACAAATCATCTCACATCAACATAATTTTTTTAAACACATAGAATTCAATTATTCAATTATTATTGTGTGAGTTTATAACGAGTTTATATTTTTTATTACTCAATGTCAAAAATGTAATACATAACCTTGTATTTGGTAATATTACAACTCAAATTTGATATTAATTTCACTCAACTTTTTTTTAATATCTCAATCATAAAACATATTGGTTTCAATTTATCTCTCATTTTGTAATTAATTTCCTCAATTAATGTTAAAAATCTTTTGTAAAAGCTTACGTTCTTATAATAGTAATTAATATTTTAAATTAACACGAATATTATCTGGTCAACTCAACAATTTATTCAAAATAAATGTAGATCATAATTTAGTAATTGATTATATTGCTATGGCTTTAGTAATTTAGCAAGTGATGACTTATCATTTTTGCAATTTTCATTTGAAATACATTAGTCCCTGTTCCTATATGAGTTAAAATTTCTAGAGACAATACGAAACATTGTAAAATTAGTAAGCACTTTCATTTAAATTGTGATGATTTAGGATTTCAAAAGTGCTAAAATAAATTTAAATGTTTCTCATTCACGGTTGTAAAAAGAAAAACAAAATCATGACAGAATTGTCAGAAAAAATATTTAATCCATATTCTTAGGTATTAGGAATTTGTTTCTTTTATTTGAACTTAGGCAATGTTCTACTTAAATTACACTTTTAGTACTTTATAATTGCATACTTTTGGGAGAAAACGAACTGTAAGAAAATAAAATGCAACATTTTTCATAATAATATATTGTTGTACCTTTTTGGTCTTTGATTAAAATTTATTTCCATAATATTGTTCAATTGGGAATATTTAGTCATTCCCACTTGGAAACAAATTCTTTACAAATATTTTAAAAACTTTATGCAAGATTGCCTCTGATTCTCAATAATTAATTAATGAAACAATATTGAATTTTTGAATGCTTGCAATTAAAAAAAAAGTAGATCTGAATAGATTTGGATCTAAAATTCTTCTAATTAGTATTATGTATTCATATGGATATGTATTTGAGACCGTCATAAGCATATAATCACGAATATATTCATAAGAATAAATAAAGGCAAACATTCCTTTGTATTTTTTGTTTATTCGAATGAAATAAAAACTACTTGCGAACTGATTACGTCATTAAATTCATACTTAATTAATTATTGTAGGTATGTACAAATGTGTATAAAAACCGGTCTTTATATCATTGTAGTATGGCATATCTTTATTTCTAGTCTTTTATTTTTTTCGCTTTATAAAATATGCAAAAACGATTTTCTGAATTAAACTTTAATAAATGTTACTGCGGACATATGTATATAAATAGATATGCATACATATGGTTACATATCTATACATATACGTATAAGTATGTGTTTCAGTAAATATATTATGTTCGAAGTTAGAAAATGAAAGCTATACTTATTTCTATAATATACATATGTACATATTCTGTATGCCTACATATTTACATACATTAAAAACAAATCGTTGCATCAGCACACATAGGTTGAAAATATATGAGAAATTCAGAAATGATCAAATCAAACCGCCGCTACCGCTTATTTGATAGAATACATACAAGTCAAGTCTATTAACTCTACAAAACACAATGACCTTCTCTTTAAATATTCTTGAGATAAATTGAAATTAAAATAAAACACAAAAAATATCTTTATTTCTTTCTTTCATATTCATCTCTTATACATTTATTTTCTCGTTTTATATTTTATTTTCTTGTTTGTATATTTTAATTTTTAATTTTTTATGTTTTAAAAAAGATGACATAATCAACAGACAATCAAATAACAAAAACAAAAATATGTGTCAACATAAAAATGACAGAATTTAAGTTTTGTTGTAGTTTTTATTGTTCATTTTTATTTTAACCTTGGTATGCAAACCACAATTTTCAAAAACAAACTTTCTGCACCATTTCATAAAAACTTTGGGTTTAATAATAATGAGTGGTTTTTAAAATAATGAACATTCCAAGAAAATGCTGATTAATCTTAACGACTAAATTATAATTATTATCTATTTGAAAGCGAATCTAGATTCTTTAAAGCGCATGATCTCGAAAAACAAGTGAAAAATTATTTAATTATCAAACAAATTTCCAATTTATATTTCCTAAATACAAATGATTTGAAAGGGTTTTTAGGGTGTCGGACCAACTGAGTAGGTTTGACATTTAAGGCGAATGTATTACTTGAAAAAGACTTATTTTCCTAAAATTTAATTCAAGAGCTTTACTGTTATATATATAAATATTTTTTTATAACAGTTACTTATACTTATTTGTAATTTTAGTTCATCCTAACTGATGTTGATTTGAAATATTGTAAACAAAAAATGTTGGAAGCCAAATATTTATGAAAAATTTTAAATAAGGTTTGTGTTCTAGGGTTAATACAATAATTGACTTCGTATAATACATGTTGCTTTGCTTTTCTATCATTGATTCTGTTTTATAGATACCACTATGTATTCATAATATAGTTTATAGTTATATAGAAGTGTATATACATTGCCAAATGGCATGGTAATCATTATTGAAGTTTTTTCTCAAAAAGAAAAAAAAAAATTATTTGCATAGTTGAAACCGTCCTAAGAGAAACTGAAATCGAAAAATTAAAAATTTATAATGAAAACTAAAATGAGAACCGCACATAAACGTTATTCATCAAACAAAATAACTCAATGGTGACTTAATAGGTCTTTATAGGAAAAGTTCACTGAAATATTAAAAACAAATCTTTTATAATTTCTTCGATTTTTGTTAATAACTTATTTTTGTATCTTAAAACTAAATTAGGAATTAAAATAATAGACAACAGACTAGTAAGCTTAGGTAATTAAAATTAAAAAAGCAGTTGAGACAAAATATACAATTCAAGAAAATTATTTTTATACGAGTACTGGCGTCCTCTGAATCTAATTTTCACAAAACCTTAAATTATGTGAGAGATTGGTTGTTACTTATTTTTATACATTATACCCGAAAAATTTATTTGGAATTACTTGTTCTAATGCGCTAATTATTTAATTGTGTGAATTGTTTTTAGATTAAGTCAAGATAATAATCAAGACATCTAATTATAAAGAACCACACTTCTTATTAAATACTTATCTATTCAATTACGAATAAATTACCAAGGTATGTGTATATGTATGTAAGTAATTTCTGCTAGATATTACAATTTTTTATTACAATTTTATATTACAAGACTCGGTAGTATGAACAAATAATCAATTTTTCAGCAAATAGACGCTCATGTTTGGATAAAATAATTAAAACAAAAACTCTATTTTTCAAGTAATTCATAACAAATTTAAAGCTTTTGTAAACTATTTTTCATAATAATTTAAATTTAATTTATTTTTGAAAATGTATTTTGACAACATATTGCGACAAAAGGAAATTTGAGTCTGCTCTAAGTATCGAAAAAAGAAAACTTATAGTACTTATAGTAAGTAGAAGACTTATAGTAATTTATATAACAAGTACATAAGATTATTATATAA